AGTTTTCCACTCTTCCTTCAAATGGAACTTTCCGTCTACCTAAAGTCCATAGCCCAGAATAAGCAGAAGCCCGGGGCAACAGGATGGCTCGGACATAAGGACGGGGTGGGCTGAGCTGTGGGTGAGGAACAGGGAGCCAAGGGGATCCAGAGGCAAGTCGGAGATCAAAAGCCAAGAGACTTCAGCGCAAAAGGTCTGGGCAGAGTCCTGGTAAGAATGCACACGTCTAAGACTGGGATGAGAAGTGCTTCTCCTGTTTGGAGAAGATGGTAAGAAGAGCCTGAAGAAACCCCTTGTGATGGTAAAATTGTATGTGTCAACCTGGCCAGGCTAGAGGACCCAGCTGTTTGGTCAAACCCTAGTGTAAGGTGGTTGTTGTGAAGGTATTTTATAGATGTGATCAACATCTACAATCACTCGACTTTAAATAAAGGCAGATTGCCCTCCCTAATATGGGTGGACTTCAACCAATGAGTTGAAAGCCTTGAGAGCAAAAGCCAAGCTTTCTCAGAGAAGAGGGAATGCTTCCTCAAGAATTCCTTGTGGGACATAGAAACCAAGCCTAAGTTTCCAGCCTGCTATATCCTTTAAGGATTTCAGACTTGCCAGTCTGAAACACTGCAAATCAAATTATCCCGGTTAGATGTATCAGTGAATTGGAGGTCAAGCCTCTGGAGGGCTGGAGCAGTCAGTGCTAGCTCAGCTGAGCCTTTTCTTAGGAGGTTGCAGTAACTGTGCTTTGGGCTGGGCGTCCCAGGGTGCTCTGTGAACAGGTCAGGCTCTGTTCTTCTTGGGATTAGATGATGTGTATGGAGCAGGTTGAACAAATCCTGTGAAATCAGGTCCACTCCTTCTGCTTTGGAGTTTTCTATTGAAAGACAATCTCAACCTTAAGTCACTGGCTCCAGGAAATTTCCAGATGAGAGAAGTTCCCTACTGTTGCTCTCTGAGAGCCATGTTTATTTATTTGTTAATTCATTCAGTATCAGTGAATTGTCTCTAGTATAAAGTGTTGGCACTACAAAGGAGACTAAAACATGTAGATTGAATAAATTATAGCCAGCCAAAATTAAATCCTGTTTCATCAAGTTGTACAAAGGTCATTAAGTGTGAAAACAATTACATAGTTGTAGGATCATTTATTCATAGTATACTTAAACCCATGCTTGCACATACACCTAAACACACACGCATCCCAGGGTAATACAAGGATTTGGAGAATTATGACAATAGGAATTGGGGAAACAAGTTTAGAGGCATTTGAGCATCACAGTCAAGTGAGCCATTTAGTAGAAAAGTGAGTAGGCATTCAAACCAGCCTGATTTGGAATCAGATTCTTTACTACTTGCTAGATGTGTGACACATCAGTAAATGATAACCTCTCTGAGCCTGTTTTCTCATTTATAAAATGAAGATAAAAATAAAATCTGTCTCAGGATACTTGTGATGGATAGATATGATGACAAAAATGGAGATTTCTAGCTCAGTGACTGATGCATAGTACACACAAAATAAAAATTGGTTTATCTCCTTTCTTAGTTTCATGGACTACATTTAGGTTTGAGCAGTGATTTATAAATAACTCACTACTTTTTAAGAATGATGCTTGAATTTACCCTCTTTGTCCTATTTTCAGTTCCAGTCTGCTGAAATTTCACTTGAGGCTAACAGGCTTTCCACCTGCACCTCTTCCCCACAGGTACGGATGGTATACCAACACCATTCTCAGAACCAGTATTTAAGAATATAGTTGGGGATTAAATGCCCCCTAGTGGTCATGTGAGGCAAAAATTCAAGCCAGATGCTCAATAGTGAGTAGAGGGAATAGGTGAAATTTGGAATTTTTCAGTGACTAGAGGCTGTTTTAAGCTCAGTTAAATGGTTGTGGGATTATGACTAATTGGTTTTTAACCTCAAGTTACTGAGGTCACGCAGTGACCCCAGCTTCCTGCAGATCAGAAAATTACAAGCTTGGTCTGAGAGGGATGAATTGCAGTGTTCTCTTGACGATGCTGATGCTGCTATGGGGCTGATACCTGGGATTTGACTCCATGGGATATGCTTCCAGAGCCAAAAAGATTTCCATGAGGCCAGGCATTAAGTCTGAGTCACCATTTTGGACTGGTATTTTATCTTCCCCATAGAAAGTGATTAATAAATATCTGATGGATGAATATATGGTTGATGACAAGGACAAGGGTACTTATAAGTATCATAAGAGGTTACTTGAAATGAAAATTATCTCAGGAAATACAGGACATTTAGCTGTATGACTTATTGAAACTAGATATGTCAGATTTGTCTGGAGAGGAAGACATTATTTATTCAAATCCGAGGAATAATAATCCTCTTTTCCTTTGCAGTCCTGGAAACTGAAAACAAACAAAACCAAACAAAGACAAACAAAAAAACTCTCAGGTATCTTTAACAATCACAGAGTGAATAGGAACTAACATTATTTGAGCGAGTCACTTTTTAATCTAGCACCTGACTGACTTAGTTTGTAATGTATAATAGGTACTCAGTAAATAGGTACTCATTGGTCAGGCTACCAATCGTCACAGCCTGACTGATGAGATGACACTGTCCTCGATCTTATAGGTAAGGAAGTAGGGCTCAGAGAAGTTGCTGTCTAGGATACCTGACTTATAAGCGATACAGATGGAGTTTGAACATGGCTTTGCTTGACTGAAAGTCCATGCCCTGCTTACTGTAGTGGCTTTCTGCTCGAATATTAGGTCAGAGACAGTGAAGCTGCCTCATTCCTTTTCAATTTACAAGTGGGAAACAGATCTTCATTTTCCTTCTGACCCAAACTTGTCTGAAGCTGGGTTTCTGGAGCTGAGTCAGTTTCATGACTGTCTTCCCCAGGACTGAGAGTAAGGTCAATGCTCAGTATGTGTTTGGATGGATGGACTCTGGAGTAATGTGTGGCTTCCACACAGCAGAAGTCGTAAATATCACACAAGATGCAGCTGCATCGTCTGCCCCAGGGATCACAGGGCTTTCTCTACCCTTTACATTTTCATGTTTCATTTTATGGTTCCTGTTATTTCTGTGATGTTGAAGATGAATATCTCAAACACAGGAAGGAGAGAATACATCATACTTCCCAAGAGAGGAAATGAAGTCTCAGAAGGTTATGATTCAGCCTCAGTTCTCAGCCAGCAGTCCAAGAAGCTCTGCTGTCCTGTCACTGAGACCAGTGTACCACCTATCATTTACAGCATCAGGCTCTGAGGTCTGCTCCAAGCCTCAGTAATTGGCTTAGGTGGGTTGGAAATATCAAAAGCAGAGCTCTGAAAGCATCTAATTCCATTGAGGCTGAATCACTATGTAACACAGGGAGCACACAATCTGAAGTGAGATAGGCAGGAGCAGACTGCAAAGCTTTGGATTCCCAAAGCTGCCTCATTAGACTCGGGGAATGAGATGCATTGAGGATCTGTAGACCCTTGGGCAGTGACCATTTCTGAACCATTGGAAACCTGTCATTCAGGAGTTTGTCCCAATTTTTCCCTGTGTCTCGCGCTACCTGCTGCTTCAGAAGCATTGCCAGGTGGTCAGCAATCACTAAGGAGGTCAAGCGGGAGGCACGGGGGTAGGACCAGGCTTGCTCATGGGAGCCTCTGCCTCGGCTACTTCCCCACGACCCCCTCCTCCTGCCGATGCCCCTTTGGAAAATCTGCATTTTCACCACCTCCCAGTAACCCAGCTTGGAGACATCCTTGCAAATACCATGGAATTATTGTCATCACAACCACCTATCTGCACTCACATTTTCTAGCTGTTTTACCTGGACCTCTGGGAATTCCGTCTTGGATTACTTCCAGGATAGCCTTCATTGCTAATACTCAATTATGAAAAAATATATAACGAGACTTTTTAATTAGTTACTTAAATTAATTTAAGTAATTAGTTTATTATTTATAAATAAACTATATATTTATAGTTTATTATTTAATTAGTTTAATTAAATTACCAAAAAATTAGAGAATTACATAAAGCTACATGTAAGTGTGGATGTTAATTCCAGTCTTATATTTTTGTAAGGCTGTTAATATTTTAACAGGGGTCTTGAACAGAAATGTAGGTTGCACCCTCTGACTAGGGGCTGGTAGGACCAGCTGGCAGGAGAAGAGAGAACATGAATGGAATGGGAGGTGTTGTCGCAGCCTGGGTCTGTTGAGGTGAACGGCAGGGCTGTGGACCAAGATGGTCCCAAATATCAGTAGTTGGGCACTAAGTGTCATCCTGTGATCTCTCATGTAGTGTACCAGAGGG